TGGAGTGTAAACATTGTTTTGAGAGAAAGGGGCTGAAGGAGCGCTCGCCTTCGCCTTGAAATTTCATTTTTAAATAAGAGGGGGAGAAAATCCTTTTTCTGACTGATACTAATAATACAGGTCAAAGTGTCAGGCGATCTACAATTAAATGGAAAACAAAAAAAGGTTTCCCCCCCTCTTTCCCACAGCACAACGGCGCTGGAATATAAATTACCGACGAAGATGAAATAACGCTTCAAAGCCTCCAGGGCAGGGCGGCGCGGTGTTTACAAAGTGTTTGCCATGGCACGATGAGACATTAAAGATGACGGTAACCCACGGACTTGGGGTGACAGTGAATAGACCAAAGCTAGCATGAGGTAGGGTTTTAGGTCCCCGTGGCCTGTGACCCCGCGATATGCTTTGTTTTAGAAGGGCAGCTGCAGTTATCAACAGATGTTTCGGCTATAAATAATTGGTATCATCTCAGAAAAGACCCACCTACCTGGGGAGAGGCATAATACCCAAAGCCCTGCCCGGCTATTACAGCCACATTAATCTCCCATCTCTCCAGGTTTCTCAGAGAGCGGCCTGCAGGTGTTTTTTTTCTGGAAGAGCGCTGACAGAAAAATCTCTCAAGCCAGCAGGCTTTGTGTGGACTGTAAAGGAGGCTGGCCCCTGTCATAAATTTCTGTCGGTGGCCACACACCAAAGGGGAGAGGACTGGAGAGTTGGGGAAGATTGTTGTAAGAAGAACTCATGTTAAAACTGCATAGGAAATATAAGAAGAATTAATGACTGAGAAAGACAGATTTAGGTGCTTAACTACTTTTCCTGTCAGTGGGAATCTGACAGTTCATTGGTTTTGAAACTATGAGCATTCGGCTCCTCGGCCTGTGACATTGAAACGGATAGCGTACTTGACCAAATTAAGTTACAGGATTTACCGGATCCACTCTTAACAAGCTACATCTCAAAAGCAAGCAGTAAGTGTCTCAGAGAGCCTGGCCCATGGAGAGCTATAGTTCTCTCTATGTATACGCAGAGAGCTTTAGCACTTGTGCACTTGGGGTCTGGCACAATGGAAAAGCATCCTAAAAGTCTGAGGAGGTGTGGCCGCTTAATTTATAGCTTGCTGGGTAAGCGAAAGAAAAACGGTGCTCAGAGAAACTCCCGGGTTAAATACTCAAGGGCTCAAGAAAGACTAGTGGGTGGATTCTTAGGGCTGCCACTGGGTGACCTTGTGAGGGGAACAAAGTCCTTCTCTTCTCCGTGCCTCTGTTTCCACAGTTGGGAATCCATATAATTTATAGAGAGTTACATGAATTACAGAGGACGGTAGGAGGAAAGATGCATGCTCTTGAAATGGTTTGGACAACGCCAAACAGCTTCCTTCCTAATTCATGTTGCAGATCCAAACCCAGAGACTACAACTCGAATTCCAGCTGCTTCCGTTTTCACCGCAATGACGGTGATGCCACTACCAGCTTTGGATGCAGGGAGAGAACTTCATCCGGCTCCTGATCCAATAAAGATTATTGATTGGGGGTGAAGAGATGGAATCCCCAAGTTCCTACATGATACATGCTACTAACACCGTCACATGGTGTGTGTGTGTGTGTGTGTGTGTGTGTGTGTGTGTGTGTGCGCGTGTGTGTGTATGTGTAGGGTCTCAGTGTAAGAGCCACGGCTGTAGGAATTAGCAGCATGGTTACAGTACTGTCATATGCCTTGTAGGGTTGTATTAGCCTTTGCTATTTCTGGTACTTCCCTGAGATGCTCTTGGATGTTCGTATAATAGGGACACATCAACTCAACAGGCAAAGATAATGTCTGTTGACATCCTATCCATAGAAAAAGATATAAAAAGTCAACAAACTATTAATAGAGTTCTTCAGCCACACAGGTCATTTCGGGTGTCAGAAGCCTCATGTGGCTAGTGGCTGCCATATGCCGAGCACAAATACCGAGTGCTTCCACGGCTGCCAAGTGTTCTGTGGACAGCTCGTGGTCACTGGCATCGTCGCTAGCAATCTGAGCATCTGCTTTGTCTTTCGTGTTCTTCCCTTAGACTCGCTGGAAAACGGAAGAGAAAGAGGCTGCTCTCTGGCCCCCTGTGTAAGAGGATGGGAATGGCAATCATCACTATAGGGCTATTTTGATAAGAAAGATCTGATGCATATGTAAATTTCACAATATGCAAATTATAGTTACAATCATTCTACTTTTACACAGGTACCAACCATAGTTATTAAAATTCCCCCACTTAAGATAGTCTTGCTAGCACACACTGAAAATGTGGAGGGAGGGTCTAGTGTTCAAGGCCAACCTGGGCTACATGCTGAGACCTTGTCTCAAAGACAAAACCCAAATAAAACCAACAAACTAAAATTTCACTCTTCACAGGATTTACTTTTTTTTAAGATTTATTTTTTATTATGTATACAGTGTTCTATCTGCATGTATGCCACCAGACCAGAAGAGTGCACCAGATCTCATTATAGATGGTTGTGAGCCACCATGTGGTTGCTGGGAATTGAACTCAGGACCTCCGGAAAGGCAGGCAGTGCTTTTAATCTCTGAGCCATTTCTCCAGTCCCAGGACTTACTTTCTTCTGTCAAGAATCTCCAGCCTGCTTAACCTATTTTTGCCCTGTCTGGGAATTCCTGAAGATGCTCTTGTGTGTTCATAAATCTCAAAGGATCTTTCTGAGAGTTTTTCCTACAACAGGAGAAAAACTGTCTATGTATTCATTGGGAATAATCCCTAAACATAAAACCATGTAAACAAAGTAAAAATTCTAGGATGTTATTGTTTTGATGCCTGTTATCTAGACAAATATATTCTTATGTGAGGAAAAGTACATTTAAGTTATTAAATTTCCTTGGTGATTAATTCCTGAGAAGTTAAAAGTAAAGAACAATCTTACTATGAGGCTGGAGAGATGACTCAGCGGTGAAGAGCACATACTGCTCTTACATAGGACCTAGGTGCCGTTTTCAACACCCCTGTGCTATCTTACAACCATCTTTAACTCCAGTTCCAGGGGATCTGATACCCTCTTCTAGCCTTCTGGGCAACAGGAATGAACGTGGTTCACATAGTACATACATATTCAAGTAAACAGGCATGCACATATAATAAAAATAAATAAATATTTTTTTTAAAAAAAGTAATGCTGCCACAAAGGAAAATGGGACTCCTTTTAACTCCCCTAGAATTCAAGCCTGGGTCTTGAGCCTTACCTGGCTTCTTATGCTGTTCTTAAAAAATATAATGCTTTTATTAGTTCTTTGAAAACAAATGCATTTATTATGTTTTGATCATGTTCATCTCCCCATTCCGCTCCATTATTCCTCCTAGATTCCCTCTAACTTCATGGCCTCTTTATTTTTAATAACCCCTACACTGTTCTTGATGCTCTTTCTTATGGGGAATGGTGCTATCAGTTTAGTTCTGTGGTTCTTAACCTTCCTAGTGCCGTGACTCTTTAATACAGTTCCTCGTGCTGTTATGATCCCAACCACAGAATTATTTCATTGCTACTTCATGACTGTGATTTTGCAAATATCTAATATGCAACCCCCAAAGAGTTGAAATCCATACGCTGAGAATTTCCAGCTTAGCTGATTCCTTTTGTGTGTGTTGGGGGGGGGGGGTGCTAGCGTAACTTTCATTTGTAAAGGAAAGCACTGATATTCCTATCCAAAGCAGACAAACAAGTCTTAACAGACATACATCATCCCTTGTGTCTTATTAGATCGTAATCAACTTAGACTTGATGTAGACAGCAAGAACAACTACAGAATCTATAAAACCCTGAGGATTCACATATATACTTCTGAATGATCAGTGGGTAATCAAGGAGTAAATTTAAAAGTTATACAAACCAATGAAAACAAGCAAAACTACAGATTACCAGAATGGAATCCTTTGCACACAGCAAAGGCAGTCCGAAGAGATGAGTTTAGAGACAGAAGAACCCATGCTAAAAACAATCACAGAGATTTCAAATAATCCAATGATGTATTCAAATTGTTTGCAAGCAAGTTAAACTTCAAACAAATAGGAAGAAATAGGAACAATCAGGGTATACGTCAATGAAATGGAAGTTAAAAGAATAATACAAAAATTAATGAAAGAAATAGTTCTTTGAAAAGGCAACAAGGTAGACAAATGCTTAGCCAAGCTAAGAAAATAACCAGGCTTAATGAAATTAAAGATTATAGAGCTATTAGGACAGATACTAGTGAAACCTAGAAGATCATTAAGGAACGGTTTCAAACCTTACATCACAATGCATTGAAAAATGTGTTTTGAAAACTAAGCGCATTCATGACTTGGTCTTGATGCTTCCAGAATGGCCCTAGTCATGAGGAGCCCAGAGAGGGAACAGAATTTCCAGGGTGTATAGAGATGACCTGACATGGATCAATAGCTTAGTCATCAACATGAGATGGTGGGGAGGGTTTTTGTTGTTGTTGTTTTGTTTTTCTTTTGGGGGGTGGATTTCGAGACAACAGTTTATCTGTAGCTTTGGAGCCTGTCCTGGAATTCACTCTGTAGACCAGGCTCAAACTCACAGAGCTCTGCCTGCCTCTGTCTCCCAAGTGCTGGGAATAAAAGCGGGTGCCACCAGTGTCCTGCTGAGATTTTTTTTTAATAATCCAGTTTCTAGAAAGTGTCATTTCAAAATAAAAAAAAATGTTTTAAAGCACAGTAGAACCAAAACAACTGAAGTCCACCTAGAAGATGGGACTATTTCAAGACAACAGGTCTGAGACTATGTACTCCATCCGCCTTTCTTCACCCACAATAGATCTGTCCTTCTACCCCAGGAAGGTGCAGGAAAATGACGCTTTTCAAATGGCTATTTCCCCCACATCAGTCAATCTGGCAGAGCTGACTGTAAGAGTCGGGCCTGTCTTGTACTTCAGAGAAATTTAATCTGTTAGACCACTTAGTGTCTAACTGCCTCCCTTGGGGATGTCGGAGGGACAGGTGGTGTGACTTTTCCTACCAGTAGCTGCTGCAGCCTGGCGCCAATCACATCTTGCAGGTTTGTTTTGTCCTCTGGGCTCATGGCTTGTTTGTACTGCCACCTTTCAGGCACGAAGGGCCACTTCATTTCCTTTGCCTCCTGGATCAGGGTCCTTAACTCGTTGGGGAGTGAAGCTGAAAAGGTCAGAGGTCAGTTAAGGAAATTGCCGTCAAAGAAAGGGCTGTGGAGTCCCCCCCCCCCCTCCGTGTTATGATGAAGCACCTCAGCTACCAAAACACTTTTCCTATCTGTCGCTGGCTGGTCCAAGCTGTTGGGGCCGCCTCGAAGAATAATAGCAAGGAGCTATCTGTCATGGGTGGCCTGAGTCTACTGTGCCCTACAGGTAAATTGGGGTAGTCAGGCATTGAGAAAGGTTTTTAACAGGAAGTCAAGCACTCGACTGGCTGTCTCTGCATGAAGAATCAGAGAAAGGCACGAAGGAAAGATTCTTTTCCCTGTAAAGTGAGAACAGGGCTAGAGGGAAATGGTATTTTGAGCTTGTGGCACCTGAGAAGGGACTCAATTTGCTCAGGCCGTCTCTGCTTCTCTAAGACCTTGGCCCATCTTCTCTTTAACCACTGACTATGCCTAAACACGGACAGAAAGTACAAACCCACAAACAGGATGTTTGCTGATACCAGTTAACTGTGAAGTGGCCCCGTTTCACAACAGTAACTGTGTTAAGTCTCTCAGTGGGTACCAATCCTAACTATTTTGCTTGGCAGTCTCTTGTCAAAACTTGAGAAACACAAAATCTAGAAACTTCAAGTGTTTCCCTTAGATTTGATATTTAAACCACACCAAAGTTGAGTAGGGTTGATTGTCCTACTTGGCACGTAAAATTCCACAGCAAGAAGTTCTGCACTGATGAGGCCCCTTGTTCACATCACTCTGGGTATAATAGATAGTACACACTCCACGGGACCTTCCTCATAATGGAGACAGTCTGTTCCGAAGTATGTGTGACGCCAGTGTTCTGAACAAGGTCGTCTATAGATTTGTCTTGTGTCTCATATTGAACACATCCCAAACTTAGTTCATCAGCGGTTTTCTAATTCCATTTCCCTCTATATTTTCTCTTAATGAATGGAACCACCAAATCTGAAGCCCAGTCATTCTAGACATTTGCTTTCTTTCCCTCCATGAATCTAGCTAACTCAAATCCTATAGCTCTTACAGCCTATCTCTCTCTCTCTTTTGTTTTCTTTTCGGTATTTTCAGCCTATCCTCACAAGCCTTTGCAAAGCTGAGTCTCTCTCCCCAGGTAGACTAGGACAACACCTTTCACAACATCTTTTAGTTCTTTAGTTTGCGGTTTCCCTACTCCCAAAGCCAATGACCAAACTCAGGCCCACTGCATTTGGTATTCAAAGCAAAGATCACCACTTCCTGTTAGTCTGTCATGGCCTCTCGGTGGAATTGAAACGCGTCTTCCCTGGTCTTCCTAACCCACAGATGCATGCTCCTTTCAGCTTCCATTCCACTATTCTCTGAACACATCTCCCTGTCCTCCTGGGCTGAAAGCATCCTCAACACCGCTGTTGTGTATCCTATCCCCTTCCTCGTGTAAATCCCATCACTATGGCAGCATACTGTCCTGGTTAAAACACCAAGGTAGCATTATATCAGCCTGATCCGTACTAAAGAGAGAAAATAGAACGTGACAGATGAGCAGAATAAGAAGTAAGAAAAGCTGCCTTAGTCCTGGACGTCTTTATGTGAACTTGCCACCAGCTGAGCAAATTAAGGAACTTTCTAGGTAGGGAAAGACTGCTTGGCCTTGACAAGACCACACCAATGAGTGACTAGTGTCGATGACCAGAGATGACTATCGTATCCCATTGAAAGTGTGACTCCAAGTTCAGCACCCCTTGGGTCCTTTACTCTGCAGTAGCATCCCCTCGCAGAGCCCTAGAACTATGTGCTCCCATTTGGCTGCAAAATATGTCTGTGCAATTGCTAGTGAAGGAATTTCAGTTTCTAGAAATGTAACATGTGTGCAGAGCAAATTTCTTCAAGGGTCCTTCTAAATGGCAATGAGTAAGATGACAGTTGGAGGGGACGGTCCCGTGTGGCCCAGGGGACTCACAGATAATGTCCCTTTCCGTTCTCAGTGTCTCAGTTTGACTGTAAATATCCTAGACTCAAAGAGTGAACTTGATGGTTCTTCAACTGACAATCATTTTTGTCCCCTCCATAACCCTTCTCCAAGCCAAACCGTAAATAAGCCAGTGGAACACACTGGAATATAAGACACCCCTAAAAGACAGGTGTTAAACCTATACTGCATTTCAGTTTGTGTTGCATATCTTACTCCACCTCCCAGGCTGGCAGGAACAAGGAGGAGAGAGATGGAACTGAAGGTTAGGGCAAGACAAAATGCTGAATCAATGTTCCCAAGTTCACCGGCTGCCATGCCCATAAGCAACCCTGTACGAACGTCTTTCTCTGTGATTCCAGACAGTAACAACGTCCGTAGAGCCACAACCAGTGGACCAAAACTGCTTACAGTCACCTGCCCACCTGAGCAGAAGGGGTTCTGCACAGATGTCGGCCACAGGAAGTGAGGATCGTGCAAGCACACCACTCTGCATGTGAGGATTTCTCCCTCATTCATATCTGGCCCTCATTCTAGAAGTTTACCTAAAGGACCACGTCTTATCAAATGACTTTATAGCCTTGATTTGCCCTTATATGACATTAAATTCATTGTTTCTCCTAATCTTTGTCACTTGAGAAGAAAATGGCATCTGACTGGGGCCTCGGACTTCAGCAGGGAGAACGTGAGGGCTAGGTGAGGACACACTAAACACAGAGAGAGGACACTAGGAAAGCTGTAGGAAAAACAAGAACAACAGCCCAACCCACGTGCAGCCCCAGGGAGACAGAGAGCCAGCTATTCAATATTGGCTGGGTGCCTAGAACCTGTGGTTGAGGACCAGGCACTGACACGCGGAGCCTATGATCCCAGGTTGACAAGTACATGCAACTAGCTGTCAGTCAAATGCTTGTCGGTCTATCTAGCGAAGAATGCAATTACACGCTGAGGTTTGTTTTGGGAACTGACTGCATGTACAGGACTTCATCCAGAAGGAAGTAGAAAGACAGGTTACATAGTGGAGACTGCCATAGGTACCTAAAATACCTCGTTAGACATGTATGTGCCTGTAAACCGTAACTGGGGGTAAGCCCATCCCGGGACCTACCCATGACAGAGTGTATTTTATTCAGGCATCTTATTTTTAAATGAAACACCCAAACACTGAAAGTACACAGGACAAAATTAAAAGCTCATACAAAGAACATACTTAAACAAGCGGAAGGAAAAGTATTTGAACAATGAAAAAGAACCGAATTAAAGAGGTTGCATCTCCAAAGCTGGTGAAAGAAGAAATGAATTTTTTGTAGCTTCCTAGATTTTGTGATTGAATTTCTTAAACAATATCTATAACCTTAAAGAGCACAAACCAGGAAGCAAGAAAAAATACAGGCCATGATTACGCTGCAAACAGTCTTTTGTGAGATCAATGAGTACATTTTAAAAATGGCATGAGGAGCTTGTTGGTGACAAAGAAAATAGAGATGACCTATTTGTGGATGCCATGGAAGTATATGGAAGTTGATGAAGCACAAAACCCTTGTTTGAGAAAAAGTATGCGCTACCATTCAGAAGTTGCTTCAATTTTTTAATAATTGAAATTTGCGTGCACCAGCCAACTTGGACCCTTTGTTCTTCCTGAACCAAACTGTTTCTGGTAGCCTCATGTTTACTGAAGCCTAAAATTAGAACTGACAGCAATTCTCTGCAACAAAGTGGGCTTCTTCCCTGCCCGTCAGCCTGCAGCCCGTCCCATTCACATCCTGGAAATCCACTCATCTCTCGGTGGTCATCTGCCAGGAGCAGAAAAATAGGGCAGAGAGGCAAAAGTGTCATGCAGGCGAGGGTGAAGGTACTGAACCTGCTGGCTCAACCCCTGGTGTCTCCCATCAGAGCCTCACCTCTGCACCGCTGGTCCTCACTCTTGTCTTCGGTAGACACATCTGGCGTTTCCAACAAGAGATGATCCAGCGCTTGCTTGCATTCATGCAATATCGAAGCCACAGCGTCTTGATTATTCATGACGATTACCCACCCTCCAGGATGAATTGAGTGTCCCTGGGTCTACGGTGATCAATTACCTAGGAGAGGCATTGATTCTCAATAAAGAAGTCCCTTGAAGGCCGAGGTACCTGGTGAACAAAAGAGAGAGGAGGATGATTAACTAAAGCGTCATCCATTATGTGTGAGACTCAAGCAGGGAAGGATAATAGGACAAACACATGAGAACCCATGACAGGCCCTGAGGATGCTGTTAGGGGAGCATATGAAATGATTGCAGGGTCTGGTCTAGATGGGCGGTACCTTGAAGGCATAGCGTGCAGAAGGGAGAGAGTCTGGGGAGCGAGCTGGGTCACCCACGGTGAGGTTGGTGAACTCACACGGGCCAAATAAAATGAATGTGCCCATGATTTATGTACTTTCAGCATACTTCACTCAGTGCCCCTGGGGTCGCAGTAGCTCAGAGCCTTTCCCCTTTCTGGAAGTCTACAGGAAGCATCTGGATGACAGTTCTAATAGCCACACTCGAGCACGCGGTAATATGAAGGTCCTCGCTTTCACAGCCCGCTGCTGATTTCCCCTGTGCGGCATTCTTCATGGTATTTAGCACTATGTGATTTGGATCGAGATAGGCAATGACAGATGCCAAATTTAAAGCTCCTCACTGCCAGGCATATTGCCAAGAAAAACGGAGAAAACGGTATCCCAGAAAACCCAATCTCCTTGAGCTCCGACGCGGATGGAGCCGTCACAGAGATGGATGGATGGACTGGCGTGGGCAGATAACATGGATGTAGATTCCTTACGCAAGTGTGAGGGAGACAGAAGGAGCAACTGCAGTCAAGCTAAGTTTGAGATTAAAATAATTCACTAACACAGCGAAAATGCCTAGCCCATACACAAAAAGCAACTCCTGGTTAGCAAATATTTTGGTCTGTCTTCCTTTTGTTGAAGTAGTACCCTGTAAACAAACGACATTATCCTTTTTGCCCTTGACGGAGGAAGAAGTGGCATTTCTCCGACACTTGGTGGAGAGGGATGTCCAAGTGCATTACCAGAGCGACAGTCTCACAGGGAAGATGGTAATGGCGATAAGGACGGCGCTAGCGTCTCCGCCTCAGAGCTCATCCGCACCACGACGACATTACTACCGAGAACATTAAAGCGAAGAGTTGCTGCGTTGATATTAAATGCGCCCTTCTAGCCCATGGTCTGGACTTTAAAGCATGCCAAACTAAGCCTTCAGGCTATCGTAAGCTTATTTCACTCAGAATAATAACGCATTTATCGGTGAACAAGCTCTCAAGTTGACATTTTATCACACACGAAGAACACTGGCATAAATGAGGATAGTGAGAAATTAGCCACGAAATTATCCGAGGCTGAGTATAAATTTACCCTCTCCCTTTCAACTAGAGCGTTTCAGAAAGGAATCCAGTACAAACGGGGTTGTTGCACTAAACTGTGTCCCAAGCCCCTTTGGACGGAAGTGTCTATGAGCCACCAAGCTTTGTGTGATAAGCAGGTCACTAGTGTGTCTAGCTATGAAGAGACAGGCCTCTAGGCTAGTCAGAATGCTATCCTCAGGCTTCTGCTGCAAATAAATGAGGACTTGCTCATCCCTCTGCGCACTGCCGAGAGCAAGCAAGACATAATTCGTGGACGAGAGTGGCCAAGAGGCCTGTGACAGTAGCATCCCCTTCTCACCACGCCACTGAGAAGCAAGGTGTTGGCTACAGTGTGAGCTTGGTTCAGAGATGAAGGTAGGCACTGGCAGTCTAGCAAGGGAAGAACAAACTGCTGCTCATGACCTGCAGGTGAGTCAGGTAATCACCTTTGCTTGAATCCCAAATTAAAGCAGGAAGCAGACTATCTTTCCCAGAATCTTTTTGTGTGTGTGTGTGGGGGGGAAGGGCGGCACAACAACAGATTGGGAAGAACTGGTTGGTGCTCATAGGAAGAAGAGAGTATTACAATATGGTCCTGGTAACGCAGCATCCTTTCTTATAAAGGGAAAGTCATCGTCTTCTAGAGTTCATGGAAAAGAGAGTAGAAAGGAGATTCCCAGGGGCCTAAAGGGCAGAGACACTGGGAGACTTTATTACTACGAGCAAATGTGCTTTGGACTTTAACATAAAACATTAAGAACAAAATTGCCGTCTGTAGCCACACTGCCCCAAGAGTAGAAGACAAGCAGGATCAGGCCTTGTTAGAAGTAGGATGAAAAACTGCTAGGAATATTGGATCTTATAGCCACTGACAGTGACAATCTAGCTTCTAACCATCGCACCTTCTCTGAGCAACTCATGGACACACCCACGCCAGCACGCAGCTTCTTGGACTGCTCGCGGCAGAGTGGAGGCAGGAAGAAGATTAAATCTAACTGGAGAGTACGCATGTGGGGCTCGGATGCTCTTGAGTTGCAGCCATTTGTTAGCGTGTGCGAGCTACATAAAAAGAGGGAAAGGAAGGGCAAAGTTGGAGAAGAAAGTCTCAAAGACTCAAAGAGTACTTTTCTATTTACAGCAACTCGGAAGGACGCTCAGCCAACATCGCCACTGAAATGCTGGACGAACAGTTTAAAATTTCTAAAAAATAAATGCATTAATGAAATGGGAAAGGAAGAGTTACTTAAAGGACCAAAAATAAACAAACAGCTAACAAACAAAACCAACCAAACAAAGACCCCCAAAAGTTGAAATGGGAAACTTTCGCTGCAGCACAGAGGGCCACCTTTACAAGTGGGTAGGCACAAGAAGTAGACATTTACCAAGCCCTGTGAGTTTAATCTTTGGCTTTCCTGCTCTTGGAGAGACAATGATACCCAAAGGCTAGACAAGGTAAGGACATAGAAGGACACTGCCACCTGTGTCCCAGGTTCTAATAATTTACACCCTTAGTGCAAGAAAGAGTAACAGCAAACCTTCACCTCCCCACCTCATTGTTTGGGGGAACTGCCTTTGCCAAAACACTCCTCTGGGAAGGGGATCAAAACTCTTCCCTTGGGAGTTTGGGACCACAAAATCTATAAAACCTCTTCACAACTATATAAATTAAAATGTAAAAATAATATTAGGTTAATTCTTGGGCAGCTCTCTAAAGGGATTGGGCTTCCGTCTAAGCTTCAAGGGATTCCAGTCAATGCTAAGAAAGGTGAGTTTGTGGACAAATCACACAAAATACACATGACATAAAGAAGTAAAGGACAGAAGCACAGAAAATATTTAGTAAATCAGACCCACTGGCCTTAGGTAGTGGACTCGGCAGGTATAGGCCCCAAAAAGTATCTTTATCGGACTAAATAACCAGACTAAAAATATTAGCAAAGGCGCTGGCTGCCTCTATGTGAGCACATGAAGAAGAATCAGAATAAGGGAAAAATAGGCTCTGTTTCAGTGGGAGAAATGGGAGGAAACTCCGAAATCCTCACAACAGTGATAGCATACAAAAGTGTGGAGAAAAAGCTGGGAGGAAAAGAAAACAAGACAAACTCGCTCCAGCCATGAGATGCCGTGGTAGGAGGCAAACAAACAAAAGACACATCCAGAAAGGTAATCCACAGCTGGCCCTAATGGGTGGGGATGGCCAGCAGTTGAGAGCACTCGCTGCTGCTGGAGAAGATTGGAGTTCAGTGCCTAGTACCCATAGGGCAGCGCACGACCATCTGTAAGTTCAGTTCCAGGGGATCTAATACCTTCTTCTGCACTCCACGGGTGCTTACCTATGTGGTGCACATGCATACATGTAGCAAAACACTCACAAAATAAAAATAAGAGACTCTAGGGGTGGGTGGAATGTATACAGTCCTACATTTAAGACTTAAAAATACTCCCAAACTTCCAGTTGTGGGTTTTAGACAGTGATTTCTCCAGTGGGTGGCCAGCAGTGTACAGGCATCCCTGATATTGTGTGTGACCCAGGGCTGGGTCACTGGAATCCCTGTCACTTTGTGTGTCCCAGGGCTGGGTCACAGAAATTTGGGTCACGGGAATCTCTGTCACTGTGTGTGACCCAGGGCTGGGTTACTGGAATCCCTGTCACTGTCTATGACCCAGGTGAGGTGCTACCTTGAGTGAGAACCAATTCCTTGAAACTGTGCTGTCCTGGAGGCCTGAGAGCAGTAAACGAGGACCAGCTCAGAAGTCTGAACTTACATCTCCTCTGGGAGAAAGACAGCTCTGGGAGGCAGCTGTGGAGAGTGACAGGGACAGACAGACGCTGGGGAGCTGACAACCGTGGATGGGAAAGTTGGTATTGAAAGTGTCTAGGGAATAGTAACACACTTATATGTACTACGTGTGTACGTACACACACACACACACACACACACACACACACACACACTCAGTGACCTGGAGCAGACCTCAGCAAATGACAACCTGGGAGTTGGGCAGCCTGGTGTCAGTGAGCAGATGAAACTCTGGAGTCAGCCACCTGCTCGTCCCCACTACAGCCCATGCAGCTCCAGTGGACGGTCTGACACACATAGATGCATCCCTCCAGCGGCATGAGGGCTTGAAAATACGAAGATCCTGAGATTGATCCTCTCCCTGTACAGATCTCAGCTGTTTTGTTGCTTTCCATACTCCCAACACACTTGGAAGGCACTCCTAGTGAGACTATTAGCCATCCCAGGAGGAAGGACTGGGGAGTCCCAGAAGGGTGAGAGATAGCCTGTCCAAATCACAGACTGCCAGGCTAAGTATGGTCTTTAGAACCTCCTGGGTGGAAAAAAAAAAGAAAGTCGGCTAAAGGAAATGAAGCTCCAGGAGACATCTGCAGTCCAACCCATAATATAACTACAGTTGCTCACCCTCGTTTTTATCCTTCATTCTTTTTTCTTCCTTTCTTCATTTCTTTTCTTCTTCCCTCTTTATTCAGTACTAGGAATTGAACCATGGATTTCACCCATCTTAGGCAAGCACTCTACAACTGATCTGTGTACTTGGCTATTTGATTTTTTAAATTGATTTTTATTGAGCCCTACATATTTCTCTGCCCCCTTCCCTGCCTCTCCCCTCCCACTTCAACCCTCTCCCAGGCTATTTGATTTTTAAGGACCCAGAAAGAAGTTGTTTCAATATTTGATTTTTTAAAAAAATCTCTTGTTCTGTATGTGTGTGCATATTCA